ACAACAAGGAACTTCAAGGAACACGGGGGCATCGGGGGGGGGCGCATATCACCCAGGCGTCAATCAGGGGGGACAGGAGAATAGCATTTACACGGTGCGCAAGTGCAAACACCGACGGAATTGACCGCGGCAGCACCGACGAGGCGGAGCGGAGAGAGCAAGACGGAAGAAGGGGAGGTTTTGGACATAGATGGTTTCACGCGCTGCGCAAGGGCACATTTTGCACGGGGGGGCCCCGCGCGGAACCCCATGGGGCCTCAATGGCGCCACAAGAGGGTCATTTCTGCAATCCGAATCGTTTTGGCCGTCTCCGCCGGGGTCGCCCCCGCCTCCACCCCCTCGTCGCCGTTTCGGTTCACGGGGCCATCGGCGGCGAGACGCATTCGGCGCTCGCCCGCGAAGTGTTCGAGACACCTCGACTGACGGGACGTCCACGTCCGCCGCGGCGGCCGCCCTGCTCGCCGCCGGCGAGGAGCCATCTGCGCTCGGCGCAGCGCTGAAGCGCGGAGGCGCCTTCGCCGACGCCGCGCCTTCCGAGGCCGACACGGCAGTCGAGGCGGGCGACGCAGCGCCGCCAGCGAGCGAGGGGCCCCCCCGGCGCGGCACGCGCGAGCGCGACCGCCCGGACTCGGCCGAGGCGAGGGCCAGGGCGATGGCAGTAGACGAACTCACTGGCAAAGGCGAGCAGCGCCTCTGCCAGCCGCCCAACCAGTTCAGGCAGCGCACGGGGCGCACGTCCCAGCGGGGGCCCGACTTAAGGGAGGGCCTCAGCGCGCTGCCGACCACAGAGAAAACCGACTTCGTCGACGCTGTCGCCCACCTCCGGGGCGGGGGGCTCAAGAAGGCGATGCGCTCAAAGGCGTCGCAGACCGCGACGGCCGCTGTCGCGGGGGAAATCGCCGGACCGGGCGGCTTCGCTACGGAAGCAGACGCGCGCTGCTGCAGGATGGCGGCCGACGGCAAGGAGACGCCTCTGCCCCGCGAGGCCCCGGCGAACCTTCTGCAACGCTCGCAGAAATTCCCCTCCAACGAGCACCAGTCCGCGCCGACGCACCCGACGACGCAGCCCGCCCCGAGCAGCCGCAACGCGCGCCAGGGCCGCTCGCGAGGGCGCTCGGCCGCGGCGGCGGGCAGGCCCGCGGCGCCCGCGGGCCCCGAGCCCAGAGCACCCGTCGCGCTGAGCCAGCGCCGCGGGGGGCAGCCGGAGACCGCCCCGACGAAGCTCAACGACAAGACCGCCTTCGCGGCGGCGCTCCTGGCGGGGGCCGGGGGCCCAGGAGGCGAACGGGGCGGTCGCGGGGCGCCAGCTCGGGAAGGCCGGCGGCATTTGCAGGGCCGCGGCGGAGATGCAGCCGAGGACCCCGCAGCACCTCACCCCGTGTCGTCACCATCCCACTGGAGGCCTGCATCCCAGAAATAGTTTCGATGACCCAGAGATGGAGGAGACATGCAACTCCGCCTGCTATTCGACATGTCCCAATTTGTTCCACCTGCCCCTCTCGATGCCTAACTTGCCCCACGTGCCCCACCTGGCCCCTCCTGCCCCGAGCGGGGCAAGCGGGGCCAAGCAGCCCCCTCGCTTCCAGGCGACCGCGGCAAAGTGGACGGCGGATAAGAAGAGGGAGGGGGAGGAGAAGGAAGAGTTTACATGCATCTGTGTGTGAATATACGCATGTATGCATATCTATATATATATATATATATATACAAATATAATATAATGTAAGCCATAGACATGGATATGCATCTGCAAATATACACATACACACGCGCACGCACGCGCACACGCGCGCACGCCTGCACGCGCGCAAACGCGCTGCGCGCGCGCAAACGCGCGCGTTCCCCCCGAGGAAGAAACAATCGACAACTTCGGGGATGGAGAGCTGCTCCGCCCGGGATATCGCCCTCGCCCCAGCGCAGCGCGCGCCCGCCTCAAACGTTAGACCGCTGCACGGATGGAGGGGGCCCCTCGCGCCCTTGTAGCTGCGCTGTAATTAGTTTACGCTCAATTACAATGCGGCCGCCAAAAATTGCAATCCGCGCAACAGAACGACCCAACAAACAGCCCTCGAACGACGAGTCGCACTGCTCCGCGATGCCGTCGCATGATAAACTCTGCGCTGCGCTCGACCGCCACGGCAGCTTCCGCGCACTCAGCAAGCAAGAACCAGGCGGCCCCGGATTTGCAAGTGGGAGGGATTGTTGAGTTCGGGGGAATCGACGTGCTCAAGCACGTTTTCCTCGTACTGCTATGAGCCGATGAATACGGATCCATCCGCCATTCCCTTGCCCTACTGACACTGCGCCTGATAATGTTTGTCGTTCCCGCGGGAGTTGCATGTCATATTTTGGCCCTTGCGGTCCATGGGATTCAGCGCGCGCCCCGCGCACTTACCTGCGACGCGCCCGCGACCTCTGCCTCTGCCGTTGCCGCCGAAGAAACATTCCTCAACGTCATGACCGAATAAAGTGGCAAAGAACGCTGCCATTCCCTTGCCCCGCAACCAATGGCGCGACGACCACCCTTCCCGCGACCCTTACCTTTACCAAAGAAGATGCGACGCGCTGCTCGCCTGAATATCCGAACTTGTTTTGTTGTGTTCCTCATCCGCCGTCCCCACCTTCTCTTGGCATGATGATAACATAAGTGCGCGCACTGCGCCGCTACATCGTCGCTAAAAGGCAGACATGACCAATCGACGTGTCCAACACTAACTGATGAGCAAGCGCCGGTTTCTGCGCCAGGACAAGCCCCACATGGGCGGTCGCGTCGGGTGGCGCGTAGCTGGCGGCTGATGGCCAGCCAGCGTTAGAGCCAGAAGCCTGTGCGGCGTTGGCATCTTTGCCTATGAAGGTCGTGGACTCGGTGGGCCCCTCATGTTTCCAAACGTTGCCCGACCTGGCCGCTGGCGCATCGCTTACCTCGGCATGTAAGTGCCAGCGTTGCGGCCACTGGAGACGCCCGCTATGTTTCGAGGAACGCGCTCCGCTAACTGTCCATAGCTGCGCGCGCGTTCCAACAGTTGATATTACTGTTGTTGGGCACGGAGCATCTGGTGATTGAGTGGTTACAATAGTTGCGATGCTCGGGAGTACAGACTCCCAGAGCACGGAACAGCAGAAGCGTCAAGATCTGGAAATTGGGCACGTTGAAACCCGCCGTATCCGCTTCCAGCCCGACCATTTTAAGTCGGGCCGACACCGACTCGATGCGTTCGCGTCGCTCGACTATCAAGCCGACGAGGGCTGATCATAAGGCGAACTGGCACTAAACCTAGATGCTGCCAAATTTGGCGCTTAGGAGGTACATGATGTACGCGTGGGCTCATGTTTTCCGCTTGCGACGTTAAGCCATTCGTGTTCTTCGCGAACCGCGAACAAACCCGCGGAATGGAACGATGCCTGCGGGGCCCCAGGTGGGGGCTCCGAGTGCGCGTTTCATCCAATCCTCCTCCCCACGTGTCCCACTGCCAAACCACGACGCACTCATAATATTCCAAACATAGTAACGCTGACTTAATATATTCTCATGTTGTAGTTGATGAAAGCAGGATGTGTGTGTGTGTTGGCAGTTGACGTACACGTAGGGTTACGAGTGGGCGTATGGTACGACACGGCAGACAGCTGGCGAAAGAGTGGGGTGTGTGGTGTGTGCGCGGCGTGCTGCCACGCGGTGGGGAGAGGGAGGAATGATATTGTAAATTACAAGTCGGTTGGAAAACAAGTGGGGTGTAATGGCTGATAACCGGCGCAGTTTGGTATTTCGCTGTGCCGCGGTAGTTTGCGATGTACATAAAGCCATGTAAGAGCCAGCCACACAAGGATGAGGCCAGACCCGTTACCAAGTGAAAAGCGAGGGTCACGAGGGTGTAAACCCAGGCCCTGCTGAGGATGACGTCTTAGACGTGGCACGGTATCCTATAGCTGGTCCCTTCTTGATGGGCAGGACGAAAGACAAGAGACAAGGCATGAGAGATGATGAGCCATCGGTGGATGTAGCCTTGATCCGACGCTCAGGTTCATTAGTGCGTCACAGGCGCGAGACAATCAAAATGGGTAGCGCTAACTTGAACCAGAAACCGCCAGACGTAGGCAAGGCGTTCGCTATGCTCGCCTTTGCCCCTGTGACCTCCCACAAATTGTGGTTACCCCCCCCCCGTGACCCGTTCCCCTGGACCTGGACGGGGAGGGGCGCGGGTCGTTGGAATGTCCTTTTTAGCCCAAGATGGTTCCAAGACAGCCTCAAAGAGCCCAAGATGGTTCCAAGATGGCTCAAGATGGCTTCCAAGATCGTTCAAGATAGCCCAACATGGCTCAAGATAGCTAACAACATGCCTCCAAGAGGCCGCAAAAAGGCCACAAGACGGATCCAAATGTTTTGGGAAACCCCTCTGGACCTCCCCGAGAAGCCGAAATCCTTCAACAACCTGGGGAAAACCAATGGTTTTGGCCTTGTCGCCCTGTCGCTTCCGATGCGCTTTCGCTGCCAACACATCCCCAAGAAGAGCCCAAAGGCCCCCAAGACGGCCCCAAGAGCTCCCAAGATCGCCTAATACGGCCCCAAAAGCGTTCAAAAAGGTTATTTCGATGGCCCCAGAAGGGCGACGAACATCGAGGACCGTCCCTCCTTGGATCGATGGTCTCCAAGATGGACCCAGGAAGCTCCCTATGGTTCCCAGGAGGGCCCCAAGAGAGCCCCAAGAGAGCCCTTCAAGAGGGCTACATGAGGGCCCCAAGGCGCCCCAAAAGAGCCCCAAGAGGACCCCAAGACGCCCCCCAACAGCCCTGTGGCTCCAAGAAAGCCTCCGATTCTCCAAAATGGCCTCCGACATGGTTCAACACGTTCTTCCCCCTCCTCTCTGCGACCGCTCTGTTTCACTATAAGCGTCTTTGCCTTCCCTTCCCCGTCAACTCTCGCAGGCGGGGCTTCCGAATTGGGCCGGCGGGGGCTCGCGAAGCGCAGGCAAGCGCGGCGGCGGCGCAGGCGGCCGCCCGCCCGCGCCTGCCGCAGCTTCTGCTCCAGCGAGGCCCTCTGCACCTGCAGTTCCTGCCCGCGCGCGCGCGCCGGGGGGGGGGGGCGGGGAGGGAGGGGGGCGGCAACTGAGGGGGGGGAGCAGTTGAGAGGGGGGGACAGGCGCAGGGAGCGGGGGAAGGGCGGGAGGGGCAAGGGGGCGGGGCGGAAGGGAGACCACGGGGAAAGGACGGGGAAGAGGCGGGCAGGGGGGGGGGGGCTGAGGAGAGAGGACCAAAAAAGAGGAGGCAAAGAAGGAGAGGAGGAGGGGGAGGCGGAGGAGGAGGCGGAGGAAGAGGAGGAAGAGATGGAGGGGCAGTGAGAAGGAGGGGGAAGGAGGAGGAGGGGGAACGCAAGGCCTTAGCGAACAGGTCATCCTGGTGGAGCGACAAGCTGAGCAGGCCGCCGCTGGAGCAGATGACGCACGCGCGCTCTGCGGCGGGACAACACTCGCGCACGTGCTCTGAACAAGGCCCGAAAACAACTACAAACACATGCTCGAGTCCAGTACGCGCACAGTAATCTGGAGGCCAGTTTGGCAAAACACTAGGGATGAGTACTCGGAGCAGCAGGACAATGGATATATTGATCAACAGCATCACCGACAAAGGCCTTGCACCCGAAACGACACGACATGGCCCCCCGGCGGAACCTCACAGTTGTCGGCACGCGCTGCACGAGGTCATGAGGAACGAGACAACCGCGTAGCCTCTCTCACCAGGATATGGATGGACCTGAAAACTCAATCGGGAACCTCGTTGGGGGCATCGGCACTGAAGTGCCTAATACGGGCGGGGCGCCCCTCTGGAGCTTTTAAAAAATGCGCCATCTGCCTCTGCACGTCAGCGACACCTTCGTCTGCAAGGTGAGGGGTCATGACCGTGAGCGGTGAGCCTCTGGTAATTCCGAATCTAAGTGAACGCAGTTGACTTGTCTCCACTGAAGCATCCGAAGAAGAAGCAAACACATCTGCGTCGTAGTGTTGAATGGATGATATATTCATATATACATATATATATATATATATATATGCGGCGCCTGGAAAGAAGGCAGGCAATCAAAAAACAAAAAAAAAGCTGATCGACTCCCACAACTGACATCTCGCGGCGCAGCCTCAATGCCGAGCTCGTCTAGATGATTGAGAAGCGCGGCGGGCATGGCATGCATCGGAGCGAGCCGCCATTTGTTCCGGAGCGGTACGTCCTGTGATCGTCTGGACGTGTTTGTTCATCTCACAGGACTGACTTACATGAGAAAGCACTGCCTGATCAAGCGCATTGCATGCGCGAATATTCTGAAACATGGAAATATTCAGAGCACGAGCGAGAGCCACGCGTTCCAGAATGCCCTAGCCGTCCCTGCAAAAGAAACTGCCCAAATACTTCGCGCTGGCGTCGACGCGAACTCAAAAACCGGAATGCCCGCGGAAGCAAGCAGATCGGTCGCAACATAAGAATCAACATCCTCGGCAACCGTAATCCAACATCTTCGAGCATTCTGCTTCAGACCCGCTAAGACCACGGGAATATACTTCGAAATATCAGCAGCGGCAACGCCAGCGCCAGCAGCGCAAGCGAGGGGGGCGCGCGGGGCGCCCCTCAAGCCGCCGACGCAGTCCACGAACAACTGGGTCGGATATCAACGCGCATTTTCAAGCCGAGAGCGGGCGACCTTGCTTCATCCCTCGCGGGATGTACAAGTAGACGCGACAGTAGAGCACCCCGACTGCAGCGACGACGCGGCAGGGCGCGCCGAGGCCAAGACGCGCCCGAAGACCCAGCAATTCAAGACGCTCGGGACGGCCAGCGCAATTTACAGGAGCATCACTCCAGGGAACTAGGAACCACGAAAGCACGCCCATTCCACCACCCACAATCCGAGATCAGCGACGTTTTCCAGGAGAACACGACCTTTGACAAACCTCCGCTGGCAGGATGCGACCGCGCGCTCGGCCTGGCCCTGAAAGGGAAAAGCGAGAGCCGACGATCTCGACGCGTCATCTGATTGCCCAAGGTCAAAGCACGCGCATGTTTGGGCCCCAGGGTCGCCTTGGAGCCAGCGCCCAAGACCTCGACCTGGGGGGGGGGGGCGCGAGGAGCCAATCATTGAAGCCAGGGGGGGGGGGGGGGGGGGGCGACGTCGAAGCGGCGCCTCGTGCGCCGCGGACAGCGCGCGCTGCGCCGTCGGACCTCCGCCCCGCCGCCCACTCTAAGGGATGCCAGCGCGGCCCGCCGGGGAGCGCCGTCTGCTCGCGAGCACCGACCGAAACCCAAACTCCTGCACCCCCGACTGGATACGCGGGGCAACGTCCTGAAACTCACGAGCGGGGTCATCGATCAGCCAGAAGAAGCGGGTCTTTGGGTGTGAAGCGCGCTCGGGCCGCCGATGCACCTCGCCCCAGTGCTCTGCAAGGCCCCTTGCAGACCGGACAATAAAGAAAGGTTCGGGGTCGAGAGGGCCACCAACAGCAAAAGTGGGCAGCTTCCCTCTGTTGAGCGACGGGGACATCAACGGAGCCTGCACACGCGCCCGCCGCGCCACAGCCGCGCGACCACTCGCCGTCGTACTATCACGTTGTAGCACGTGCGATACCATGTCAGAGCTTAGCTTGCTAAAATATCCCTGAACATCTTCATCATCTAAACAGAACATGTCGTGGACGCCGCACTAATTGCTCAGAACAGGCAGAGCATGAGCACGGGGGCAAGAGCGTAGAGGAGCAGGCCCACGTGCACGCGCAGCGCGCACGAATCTCACACAGACAACTACTATGTCCTCCATCAGTCGGCCCTCAACGGTAAAGCTGGCAAGCAAGAGCGCCCTTGGCCGCGAACATCGCAGCGCTGCACTCCGCGAGGCAATCGAAGGGATCATTGCTGAGCCCGCAGTCACTCAAGGAACCTCCCACCAAATCAGGATACTCTGGAGAAGTAGTGACCCACCGTGGGAGAGAGCAGGACCAGCACCGGGGGCGACCTGCGCAAAATCTGGAACACGATCAGAACATCCGCGTCTGTCTCGAGCGAGCCCTATAAAAGTCGAGCGCGCGCGCCAGTGCTGCACATCCGCTGTCGGAGCCGACCAAGAACGCGGTCGAAACGGTAGACAGACTGGACAACCTCACCCCTGGATGCCCCTTGAATGAGTTCCTCTTCGCGGATCTGCGAGCTCGCCGAACAAGTCTTGAGTGGATAGAGCCACACTAACCTCGGGAGGAATGGCGACGCTGCCGTCAGCTGCTTGCCCATAACCGTCAGTTTCTGGGCAGCGCCAGCGGCCGCCGACGCAAGCGATACCATTGCCGCGAGCAGGCACGCCAAGACTGTGCCGATGGAGATGGCGGTGAACAGCGCCAGCAGACTGAGACGGGTCTAGGTGAACTTGGTGATCCCCAAACACGGTGGTGAGAACACCCGGTGGTGAGTTTTGGGCGATTTGGGCAATGGTTTTCGAGCGCTGGCTGGCCCAGGAAGCGCAAAACCTCGTGGCGACCGCGTGTCCCCAAACCCGGTGGTGACCCAGAATCATTTTTGGGGGGAATCTCGGGTCGGGCGAAAGGGGGGGATAGCAAAGGGGGGGTTTGAGAATCAGCTCACGTAGCTGATTTTCCCGGCGCCTCCCGGCGCCGGAGGCGGCTATGTATCGAGGATCGGACCCCTCGGTGGGGCCGAAACTAGCTGCATGCAGCAAATTTCGTAACCCCCCCTTCCCAATCCCCCCCTTTTGTCCGGCCCGAGAATCGGGGTCACCACCGGGTGTCTCACCACCTGGTTTGGAGACCACCAGGTGAACACTCCCAAGTACGAGTGGCCCCCGGGGGCCGCAGAGCCGAGCGGCACGGGCCCGGCCTCTGGCAGCTGCTGAAAGCCTGTCCGCGGGGAGACTACGGAAGGATTGCAAAGGATTGCAAAAAAACGAAGGATTGCAACGAAGGATTGCAAAAAAGACCTTCGTTTTTTGCACGAAGGATTGCAAAGACCTTCGTTTTTGCAATCCTTCGTTTTTGCAATCCTCGGTTTTTTGAAATCCTGCGACCTGTAGAGATAGACGGTATCACACCGACAGCATCCGGGGCGCCACAGACACCACCTACGCGGGAAGTCGCGCCTCAGAGACTCCAGCCCATCAAACGCACCCTGCGTCTCCAGCGCGAATACAGCGCCGAATTTCTCGGCGAGGCTTCGGAACCTGACGCGCCCGCGGAAACGACGCAGACGATCGGCATAGACACTTTCTCGCAACGCTTGCGAATGCCAGGGCGCAACCACGGGAACCCCCGCGAATCCTTCAGAATGGGCTGTCTCAAACCAGGCAAATAGCGAGCGCATCTGGCAGCGCGCGACGCGGAGGAGGAGGAGGAGGAGGAGGAGGAGGCGGAGGCGGAGGAGGAGGAGGAGGACGACGACGACGACGAGGAAGAGGAAGGAGAGGAGGGAGGAGGCCCGCAGAGGCCCCCCCTTCACTGCGCGCCCTCTCCGTCACGGAACGCCACGCGGAGGAGCAGTGGCAGCGCGCTCTCCCAACGAGCGCGCCCCAGGAGAAACTGCCTGCTCGTCTCCTGCTCTACGTTCCCCCAGCGCTGCTTCGAGACGAGCGCCGAGACACGCTCAGCGAGTGCATGCATGGAACCCTGCTCGAAGCCAACCGTTGTCATGTCGGCCTGCGGGGCGATGTCGAAAGTGCCCTCGTTCTCAGAGGTCTCCACGAGGCCCCGCCCCTCCTCGGTCGCTGAGTTGGGCAGGCGGAGGACGCCAGCGCTGAGTGGAGCCCAGAGGCCCTTAATCTACATCTCGTCGTTGACACATCTGCCAGAACTGACCCAGGGCGGAAGAGCGGCGCCCGATCGGCAGCGGCTGATCCCGCCCGGCCCTCAAAGGCATCACCTCGGCACTGCGCGGATCCGCCCACGTCAGGTAAGTGGGGTCCGCGCGAGCAGCTGCGTGGAACAATTTAGCGTCACCTCGATCTCAAAATGGATGTTGTAGCTGAATTCTGAATTTGCACCCAGCACTTGTCTTTGCATTCGATGGCCGTCTTCGTCTTGATAACTGGAAAGTGATTGGCAAACGTCGTAGCACTCATCTTGCGTGAGAAGCCTCTGATCCAAATGCAGTTTATCGCGAGCCTCGTCGAGACCATTTCCATTATGAGGAAGACCACGCGGGGGCCCACGAGCACTCGGAGGCGAAAAAGTTGACCACGGATCGCAGCGTGAAGACGCAACGCTGTTTGAGGAAGACGTCGCACGAAAACTCAGCTGCGCTTTGACATTTTGCCACACGAACAGTCCGTTCAGCGTCTGCTCTGGAAGGGGGACGCGGACGCGCCTGACCTTCACCGTTAGAATCTTCGGCAGCCATCTCGTCAAAGTCGAGCAGGGTGTTGCCGAAGGCCTGACGCATGTACGCATCTCCAACGCGGCCGCACGAGCTACACTGGCCTGAACCTCCTCGCGCATGGAGGCGACGTCATTGTTGACGTCCGTGAGCGAATCAGCCAAACGAGCGTCCAGAAGCTTGAAATTCATCATGGTATATGAGACCGTGTTGCCGAGCGAATTGATCTGCTGCTGGATGGGTTTGAACTCACCCGCCAGAATCTCACGCATCCCGGCCGCATCGAGAACCATAGTATAAGGCAGAAGTTTGGTGCTGCAAAAAACGCGCAGGCGCCCCTGCAGTACGAGGAAAGAAAGAAATGCGAAGGTGTCCGCCTGAGCTTGACCTCAGGATCGTGCAATGGGATGATCTGCCACGCTCAAATGGGGCCTTTCCCCACCTTGAAACATAATGCCAACGGAGGGAAGGAGAAGGAGGAGGAGGAGAAGGAGGAGAAGGAGGAGGAGGAGGAGAAGGAGGAGGAGGAGGAGAAGGAGCGGAGGTTTCCCCCCTAGCGCAGGCTGCCAAAGAGGCGCCTCGTCGGGCAGGACCTGCTTGCTGGCGGCAACCTCCAGTTCCTGGGCGCCCGCTGACGGCAACGACGACGGACGACGGACGACGGCAACGGCGACGACGGGAGACGACGACGGAGACGGCGACGGCGACGACGGCAACGGCGACGGCGACGGCGACGACGGCGACGGCGACGGCGACGACGGCGAAGGCGATGGCGACGGCGACGACGACGACGGCGACGACGACAACTACGGCGACGACGACGGCGACTGCGACGGCGACGGAGACGAATATGGCGACGGCTACGGCGACTACGACGATGGCGACGGTGACAACTACGGCGACGGCGACGGCGACAGAGACAAGTACGGCGACGACGGACGACGGACGACGGACGACGGCGACGGCGACGACGGGGACGGCGACGGTGACGACAGGAGACAACGCCAGCGACTGCGACGGCGACGGCAACGGACATGGCGACGGTGACGACAGGGGACGACGACGGAAACGGCCACGACGACGACGACGACGACGACAGCGACGGCGACGGCGAAAGCGAAGGCGACGGCGACGGCGACGGCGACGGCGACTGCGACAACAACGACGACGACGGCGACGACGACGGCGACGGAGACGGAGACGGAAACGACTACGGCGACGCTTATAGCGACTACGACAACGGCGACGGCGACGACGACGACGACGGCGACGGCGACGACTGCGGTGACTGCGACAGCGACGGCGACGGAGACGGCGACGGCGACGTCGACAGCGACGGCAACGGAGACGGCGACGGCAACGGAGACGGCGACGGAGACGACTACGGCGACGCCTGCGGCGACGGAGACGGCGATGACGGCGACGACTACGACGATGCGACGACGGCGACGACGACGACGACGACGACAACTGCTGCGGCGTCGACGACAACTGTAATAGCGACGGCGACGACGGCGACGGCGACGGCAACGCCGACGGCGACGCCGACGGCGACGGACGACGGACGACGGCGGCGGCGGCGGCGACGGCAACCACGACGGCGACGACTACAGTAACGACTCGGGCGACGACTACGGCGATTACGACGACGGCGACGACTACGGTGACGGCGACGATGACGGCGACGACGACAATGATGACGATCAATGATCTAACAGGCTGCTTTGACCTGTATTTGTGTCTCCCTCCCCCTTCTTGGGGGGGCGCCTTTTCATGCCAGCACCTGTGAGAAGCACTTAGCAGTGCACTCAATGTGCGCACAGCGCCGCCAAGGCGAATTCTTTGGCGAATTGCGAGGAAGTTGAAGAGGCCCTAGAACACACAAATAAATACACACAAATTACAGGATTCCCCATATTTTCTCATATTTTCTGGGTTTTTGTCTTCCCCCCCACTTCCCGTATTTTCCCGTATTTTCTCGGGAATCGACGATTAATTGTGCCTGCGTGTTTTTCCCCTCCTGAGAAGTCGCGGGCGAATTGGGTGAATTTGGAGCTTTCCAGAGCGTCGCAGAGCAAGCTGTGCGGAACGCCGAAGCTGGGCTCTCGCACAACCCGTTGGACTGCGAGGACTCCTCGGGTGAGCGCGCCGCTCGAGAGTGCGACACTGCGCATGACCAGGGCCCACGCGAGTAAATTGCGAGAAAGCAATGGGCGGGAGCCGCCGTCGCCGTAGCTGGGCTTTCACCAACCTGGGTGCATTGCGAGGAGGTCTCGAGACAGAGCGCCGCTCCTGAATCGGGAGTCCTGTCTGGCCAGGGCGTCCTGAGGAAAATCGTGAAGACGTGTCGAGCGGGAGCCGCTGTCGTCGCAGCTGCGCCTTCACCAATGAAGGGGCCCTGGGACACACAAATACATAGACACAAATCCGCCGATCCGGCGTGTTAGTTTCTGAGAGCGTGGACTTGAGCTCTCTCAAGCTTCTCTCTGCAGGGGGGGGGGGAGGGGTACGTTATTTCCAACGTCATTTCCGACGTTTTTCGGTACACGGGGATATTTCCGACGTCATTTCCGACGTTTTTCGGTACCCCGGGACAGGGGGCATAGAAAACTCCACTTCCGGAGCCCCCCCGGATCGACGGCACTGGCCGGGGGCCAGCCCAATAACAGGATCCCCCATATTTCGGCTTCCCCCCCACTTCCCATATTTTCCCGTATTTTCCTGGGAGTCGACGATGAATTGTGTCTGTGTGTTTGTCCCCTTCTGAACCAATCTGAGCGGCTCGCGAGGAAAGCTCGAGCCAGAGCGCCGCTCCTGAACTGTGGGGCCTCGCTGGCCAGGGCCTTCTGGGTAAAATTGCGCGGGCGTGTCGAGCGAGAGCTGCTGTCGTCGAAGCTGGGCCTCCACCAGCCTGAGTGGACTGCGAAAAATCCGCGAGCCAGAGCGCCGTTCCTGGATCGGAGGCCTCTCTGGCCAAGGCGCTCTGGGGCAAACTGCCAGGACGAATCAGGCGGCAGCCGTTGTCGTCGCAGCTGGGCCTTCAACAACCTGGATTTAGAATCAAGCCTGCGCTCAAGCGGAGATTCGCTTCCAATGGAAATGCAGCAGGTACCCAGGCGAGAGCGCCCAGAAACGCTTCCAAAGATCAACAAAGACAATTAAATAGAAACTAACCTTCAACGACGACAACGACGACGACGGCGACGACGGCGACGACGACGACGACGACGACGGCGGCGACGACGACGACGACGATGACGACGACGACGACGACAACGGCGACGACGACGACGACGACGACGACAACGGCGACGAAGACGATGACGACGGCGACGACGGCGGCGGCGTCGGCGGACAACGATGACGACCGACGACCGACGATCGACAACGGACGACCGACGACGACGACGGACGACAACGACGACGAATGACGACGACGACGACGACGAACGACGATGATGATGACGACGACGACGACGACGACGAAAACGACGACGACGAAAACGACGCACGACGGACCACCACGGACGACGGACCACGGAAGACGGACCACGGACGACGGCGACGGCGACAGAGACGGACAGCGGACGACACACGACGACAACGGCGACGGCGACGGCCAACCGACGACGGCGACGACGACGACGACCACGGCACGATACGACATGTCACGACAGCGGCGGTATTGGTTCGGCAATTGTCCATGGGGCACCAGCCTTGGGCAGGCCGACACCCGGAAACCGGGGTCGGCGCACGCGCATTCCTGACTGGCCTCCAAAGGCGCAATGGCTTCTTGAGGGAAGGATACTGGGAGGGTCATGACAGGGTCCTGAGATGCTCCTGCGAGCGTCCTGATAGGCTCCCCAAAGGCTCATAGGGGGTCTTGGAGAGCTCCTGAGACCTGAGAGGATCATGAGGGACTCCCGACAGGCTCTTGAGAGGCTCTTGGGAGGCTGTTGGGAGGGTCCTGAGAGGCTCCCGAGAAGCTCCCGAGAGGCTGCCGAGAGGGTCCTGAGATGAGAGGGTCCTGCGAGGCTCGAGAGGCTCCTTGGAGGGTCCCGAGAGGCCCAAGTCGAAGGCTGCTCCGTGAAGGAAACCCGTGGCGGCAGTGGGCCGGCAGCGCGCTGCCAGCGCAACGGCACCGCCCAATATGCACACACGCGCATCTATATCTATATATATATATATGTATAGAGAGAGAGACCTATACGACCACCCTTCGGGTGATAAGGAGGTGAGGGGGCAGGAGGAACCAACGCGTCACTCAATACATCTCGCGATCGATCCCACTATCGATCTCACTATCGATATCACTCGATCGATCCCACTATCGATCTCACTATCGATGCCACGATCGGTCTCACAACCGATCTCATTATCGATCTGATTCAGTCGATCTCACTATCGGTATCACTATCGATCTCACATTCCGTTTCACTATCGATCTCACAATCGATCGCACACTCGGTCTCACATTCGGTCCCACTATCGATCTCATTATCGATCTCACCATCGATCCCACATTCGGTCTCATAATCGATCTCATTATCGACCGCACTATCGGTCTCACTATCGACCCCACTATCGATCTCACAATCGATCTTACCATCGACTCCACAATCGATCTGACTATCGATCTCACTATCGATCTGACTATCGATCTCACATTCGGTCTCACTATGGAACTGACGATCTATATCACACTCAATCTCACAATCGATCTCACAATCGGTCTCACTATCGATCTTTCCATCGATCTCATAATCGGCCTCTCTATCGATCTCACAATCGATCTAACTATCGATCTCACAATCGATCTCACAATCGATCACACTATCGATCCCACTATCGATCTCACATTCGATCTCACAATCGATCTCACTTTCGGTGTCACTATCAATTTCACGATCGATCTCACTATCGATCTAACTATCGATCTCACTATCGATTCAACATTCGGTCCCACATTCGGTCTCACAATCGATCTCACGATCGATCTTACCATCGATCTCATTATCGATCCCACTATCAGACTATGGATCTCACAATATATCTCACTATCGATCTCACTATCGATCTCACATTCGGTCTCACTATCGATCTCAATCGATCTCACAATCGATCTCACAATCGATCTCACATTCGGTCTCACTATCGATTTCACTATCGATCTCACTCTCGATCTCACTATCGATCTCACGTTCGGTCTCACAATCGATCTCACTATCGATCTCACGATAGGACACCGACGAGACACCGACGGGACACCGACGGGACAACGGCGGGCCACCGACGGGACAATGTGGGCCACCGCTTGACAAGGCCGGGGGGGGGGGGGGGGAAACATTTGTGTTGGCGGACCCCTAGCGACAGCAGAGTGAATTCCTCTCGCCCGCCCACGCAGCTTCGCCTCGCCCGCACGCACGACACGAACATGAAACCGAAACCGATTTCCCGGTGGGGGGCTCTCCGTTCCACTTCGATCTCACCCCCTCACCTCCGATATCTCACTATCGATCTCACTACCGATCTCACATTCGGTCTCACTATCGATCTCAATCGATCTCACAATCGATCTCACAATCGATCTCACATTCGGTCTCACTATCGATCTCACTAT